AGCTCTGTGGAGAGGTCCATGTCGCAAGGAACTGAGGTCTGGCTAACAGCCAGCAACGACCTGAAACCTACCAAAAACTAAATGAGTGAGCTTGGAATTGGATCTTCTGAGATCTGCCAACAGCCACCTAAATAAGCTTGGAAGGGAATTTGCCCCCAGTTAACCTTTGAGGTGAATGCAACTGTGACCAATACCTTGATTACAGCCTTGTGACGGATCCTGAGTCAGGCACCCAGCTAAAGCCACCTGGGCCTGTATTCCTGTCCCACAAAAACTGTGTGATAGTAAATATTTGTTGTTTTAAGCTGCTTAGTTTTGGGGTAGTTTGTTAATTAACAGTAGATCATCAATACATCATCCGATACAGAAAAAACACATGACAAAATCCAACACCCATTCATAATAAAAAGAAATTCTCAACAAACTAGAAATAGAAAGGAGTTCTTGCAACCTGATCAAAAGCATCTACGAAAAACCTACTGCTAACCTCATACTTATTGATGAAAGACTGAATCCTTTACCCTGAGATGAGCAAGGTGAGGATGTTAAATGTCACCATTTCTATCAACATTCTGTTAGAGATTCTAGCCAAATTCAATAAGCAGAAAAAAAGGGGGGACATACTGCATACTGACAGGAAAGAAGTAAAACTGTCTATATTCTCCGATGACATAGTTCTAAAAGAAGTATCTGAAAATGACAAAACATTACTGAAAGAAATTAAAGACATGTATTAAGAGTAGATAGAGAACTCTTAGAATCAATAATAAGACAGTCCAATTAAAAATTGGGCCAAACACTTAGATAGACATTTCACCAAGGGAAGAGATGAATGGCTAATAAGTACAAGAAAGGGTATTCATTACAGAACTGCAGAATAAAATCACAGTAGGATTACAGTCCATACCCACTAACATGGCTATAATCAAAAAGAGTGCCAAGTATTGGCAAGGATGTAGAGAAACTGAGACCTTCATGCATTGCTGGTGGGAATGTAAAATAGTACAGCCAGGCGCCTGGGTGGCTCAGTTGGTTAAGCGACTGCCTTTGGCTCAGGTCATGATCCTGGAGTCCCTGGATCGAGTCCCGCATCGGGCTCCCTGCTCGGCAGGGAGTCTGCTTCTCCCTCTGACCCTCCCCCCATCTCATGTGCTTTCTCTCTGTCAAATAAATAAATAAAATCTTTAAATAAATAAATAAATAAATAAATAAATAAAATAGTACAGCCACTTTGGAAAGCAGTTCGGTAGTTTCTTAAAAAGTCAAACATAAACATAGTGTAGGACCTAACAATGCTAACCCTAGGCATCTATCCAGAAGAAATGGAAACATAGGTCCACACAAAGACCTAAGACACATATCAGCCAAATAGAATGTATGGCTCCTATTTGGATCCTATTTGAACAAATCAACTTGACAAAGGCATTTATAAGACAATTGAGGAAACTTGAACACAGATGGGTTATCAGATATTAAGGAATTAAAGTCCTTATCTATTAGAAATATGTCCTAAAATATTTATAGGTGAAATAATATGTCTGGGATTTGCTTTAAAATACTGGAACAAAAAAGCAGAGGGAAATAGATGAAATAGAAATAATAGAAATTAATAAATGTCAGAGCTTAATGATGGTACATGTGCATTCTCTATTATTCACTCTTGTATATATTTGAAATTTTCCATCGTAAGTTAAAAAAATTAAACCGAGAACATGATCACGGTGGAAAAAGAGCCTTTAGGGGCACCTGGATGGCTCAGTCGGTTAAGCATCTGCCTTTGGCTCAGGTCATGATCTCAGGGTTCTGGGATTGAGCCCCTCATTGGGCTCCCTGCTCAGTGGACAGTCTGCTTCTCCCTCTTCCTCTGCCTGTCCCCCCAACTTGTGCTCGCTCTCTCTGAAATAAATCTAAAAAAAAGCCTTGGGGGGCGCCTGGGTGGCTCAGATGGTTAAGCGTCTGCCTTCGGCTCAGGTCGTGATCCCAGGGTCCTGGGATCGAG